TCAAGCGATTCTCCCACCTCAGCCTCCCGAGTAGCTGGGATTACAAGCATCTGCCACCAAGTCCAGCTATTTTTTGTATTTTTAGTAGAGACAGGGTTTTGCTATGTTAGCCAGGCTGTTCTTGAATCCTGACCTCAGGTGATCCACCTGCCTCGGCCTCCCAAAGTGCTGGGATTACAGACGTGAGCCACCGTGCCCGGCCTCATTTTTAGATTATTTGTAAAGATGGGGTCTTGTTATGGTGCCCAGGCTAATCTTGAACACCTGGGCTCAAGAAAGCCTCCCACCTGGGACTCCCAAAGTGCCAAGATTACAGGTGTAAATCACCAAACCTGGCCAAGAATTCACATTGTATACTTGGACCCTGGAGGCAGAGGTTGCAGTGAGCCGAGATGACACCACTGCACTCCAGCCTGGGCAACACAGCAAGACTTTGTCTCAAAAAAAAAAAAAAAAAAAAAAAAATTAAGATTCTATTATACATAAACACGAAAAGCTGGAAAGGCTGAGAGATAGTCAAGCACCTTGGCAGTTGGATATGGAAATCTGAGCTTGGAGAAGTCTGGGCTATACATGTAGCTTTGATCCAAGTGTGGTTTCTTACTAACAACAACAACAACAAAAAAAAAAAAGAAAAAAAGAAAGAAAGAGAGAAAAAAAGTAGTTTTAGTTTTGGGAGTTGTCACCTTCAGTTTGCTCTTCTGGGTCTATCAGGCCTCAGGAGCTGTTAGCCAAGCCTTTCCCTGAAACAACAGCCTCAGGGGTCAAACAGGTTTCAGAATTGACAACACTTCCATTGTCCTGCCCAGGGGCGCCCCTCAGCAAGGCGAAGGTAACTACTCTGGCCCCAGGGCACCCTTTCCACCACCCTCCTAGGATTGACAGCACTTCTACCTATGCTGCCCAGGGGAGCCTCTCAGCAAGGCAAGATATCTTTGGCCCCAAGGCGCTCTTCCCACTACCCTCCCGCAGACCCGGGGCGGTCGGCTTCTGTCGCGGCACCCCCTGGCGGCGTGCGGCGGGAACTGCATCAAGGTGGTTACGCACCGAGGTCCGGCCCCTGAACAGGCGCACGGGCTGGCTTGGGTCCCCGGTGCTGAGTGCAAACGTGCAGAGCGCGTAGGCTGACTTGTCCTCGAACCCAGCCAGGAGCTGGTGGAGACCTGCGGGTGGGCAGTGAGGGCTCAGGGCATCCCTGCTGGCTAACTCCCACCCCCACTCCCAAGAAGCCCACTAAGGGTGGGGAGGCAGGAATTCCCTAAAAAGGGAAATTAGGTCTCAATTGGGGTAACGGGGGCGGCAGAGCCCAAGGCAGTGGGACTAGGCTTGAAATGGAAGTCTCTGGGCATTCTCGCTTCCCTCTAGCACAGGCTGACGACACAAGGCTTTATTTAAAGTCAGAAAACTAGCCAATGCAGTGTGGACCTTGTTTGATTCCTGATTCAAAACTAACCAACTGTAGGCCGGGCGCGGTGGCTCACGCCTGTAATCCCAGCACTTTGGGAGGCCGAGGTGGGCAGATCACGAGGTCAGAAGATCGAGACCATCCTGTCTAACACGGTGAACCCCGTCTCTACTAAAAATACAAAAAAATTAGCCGGG